CCTCTGGTTTATTGAGTTGGCCCATGTTGGGGCTAAGTCTGAGTAAAGGGCTCATCAGGTCTGGAACACAGGGAGAAGTGCAGACTCCTAGTTTGTGGCTGATGTCTGTTTATGGCTGGAGATGAGTGTTCAGCCGTCTTCAACATACTGCTCTCCAGATTCTGAGCCACTGAATCCTTTGCCACCTACTAACACTGTGAGAAACTCCCTTAAAGTCGGTGCAACCCTCTGCCCCCACTTGATTCTACCTTCTGTTACTATTTATATCTGATTTCTTTTCTCCTACTGTGATCTCTTTGAAAGTTGCCAAGAGGCTTCCTTCTCTTTCTTAGTTGCTGTTTAGTAGACTTTGGTGCTTGGAACCTTCTTTGTTACAAACCAGCTGTTGCCCAGTCCTGCACCATCTTCACGATGCTTGAACCCTCTGTTGTGGTTATTATATCAATCCATCCCTTTGAGGGTTTCTCTTATTTTCACTGGCCCTTTATCAAACACATTGTCCTTTTCTAATTATTTGTCTTTCCTGATGGCATTTCTAAACTACATAAGCTGAAATCTCTCCATTCTTACCTCTAGAGGCATTCTTTGTTATCGGTAAGATTTTCATTGGCTGATTTTGAATCACTGAGCCTTTCTTCTTAGTGTGTCTTAGCTGTCTCAGCTTAGTCTGGAAGTTCTGCTGAAACCTATCTACCACTGGTGACTGCTAGTATTTGACCATATGAGGGGTATAGAGACCAACATCACAGAAACACACAAGCAGCCACCGTCTGAAATACAGATGAGAGGCAGTCTCTTCATATAGCACGGAGTTTCTCATATTCAGCACTGTTGACATCATGGATTGGATAATTATTTGTTCTAGTGGCTGATCTATGCATCGTTAGCTTCTACTCAGTAGATACCTGAGGCAATTCTCTTTCTCCTCCAATTATGGAAACCAAAAATGTCTCTAGACACTGACAGATGTTGCATAGAGGGTAAAATTGATCTTGGCTGAGAACCACTGATGTAGACCATTAAGCATGTAACACCTCTGGTAGCTCCACAATCAAAATTTGTGGTAAACAGTGGAATTCATTAATGCCCTGAGTCCCAAGAGAAGATAAGGACTTCTTTGAGCTTGCCTGGGGGAAATTGTTTGCCTAATTGGCAGTGAAGTCTCTGTCACTCAGATCTTTCCACCTCTGCAGTAGATCTTCACATCATTCCCTTTACTTAACAAAGTCTTAAATCATATGCTTTGGAGCATCTAAAATGCAGCACGGCATGCCAGCAAGGACAGACAAGAAGAGCAGCTTTCATTTTGTGCTATGGAACTGTATGACATTTTGAATATTAACAGCATGACACAAAGCAACCAGACACAACTTTTTTGTGGTTTGTGGTTTTTGTTTTTTTTTTTAATATCATCAGAGAGAAGCTTTTATGTGAATTTGAATTTTTCCTGGAGGGTTCTCTTTCTCCCAGCTTCATGACAGAACCTCTCCCCATAAGCAGCCATCTCTCCAGCAGGCTAGGGAGTTTTCTAAGCTTATTTCCTTTTTGCTGGATCTGTCCACAAGTCTCTTGAAGAATATATCCAGCTGCAGTCTAGGTTGGGTATGCATGCTAAAAGACTTTCAAATGTTCATTTAAATCTTTGAAGGCCATTTAAATAATTCTTTAGAGCAGATATCAGTCTTTCTATAAAAGTTAATAGTTTAGGCTTTGCAGGCCAGAGAAAGTCTTTTTTGTACCTATTCAACTAAAAAGATAATGAGGAAAAAGCTACAGGCAATGTATACTTAATTGATATGGCTGTGTTTTCATGTTGTTGTTATGTGCCATCGAGTCACCTGTGACTCATAGTGACCCTATGTACAATAACACTGAACCGTATCCTGTCCTGAGCCAGTCTCACTGTCTGCAACACACTTGTCCCTCTTACCCCAGTCACTGTGTCAATCCATCTCATCCAGTGTCTTCCTCCCCTGGATTGTCCTTCCAAGCATGATGTCCTTCTCTAAGGACTGGTCCTTCCTAGACCATGCACAGTAAGACTTTATTTACAAAAGTAAGTTGTGTACACTATCATATCATCTGTCTGTAACAATGGTTTAACTAGCTCTTTGCCAATAGGGATATCTTTTATTTCCTTCCCTGTTGTATTGCCCTACAAGTATTTCCAGTACAATATTGCATAGAAGTGGTGACAGTGGGCATTTTTGTCTGATCCCTGTTCTCACAGAAAATTCTTTTATTCTTTCTCCGTTGAGAAAGAATTGGTTTTGCATATATATATTATTATGTTGAGGAAATTCCCTTCTATTCCAATTTTGCTGAGTGTCTTAATGAGGAACAAGTCTTGGATTTTGTCAAGTGCTCTTTCTACATCAATTGCTAGGATCGTACCATTCTTGTTATTTGTTTTGTTAATGTGGTGAATTACATTGATTTTTTTTCTTATATTGAACCATCCTTGCATACCTGTTATTAATTCCTCTTGGCTATGATAAATACTTTTATTAATGTGCTTTTGGATTCTATTGGCTACAGTTTTGTTAAGGATTTCTGCATCTATGTTCAGCAGAAAAACTGTTAGAGCTAGTCAACCTGTTTAGTAGAGTGTGAGGATAGAAGATCAATATAGAAAAATCAATATAGAAAAATCCTCTATAGTAACAAAGAGAACTCAGAGAAGGAAACCAAGAAATCAATACCATTTACAATGTTATTGTTGTTGTTAAGTGCTGTCGAGTGACTGATAGCTACCCTAAGAATGAAAGACCTGAACACTTGTATAATTTTATCATTTCTCCAAGTTCATAGAGTTTCCAGAGGCAAGCTGTTTCGGTAGTGGATGACACTGCTGCTTCTAAACTTGTTTTAATTGGGGAGCTCCACCAAACACTGTCCTCCATGGGTAACCATATCACATTTGACACATTGGTGTCACAGTGTTTAGCATCACAGCAACCATGAGTTACCTCTGCACAGCAAATGGACAGACCCGTGCCAACCATAAATTGAGATACTTGGGAATAAACCTAACTGGAGACACAAAAGACCCATACAAAGAAAACTACAGAACATTTTTGTGAGACACAGTAAAAGACCTAAATCAATGGAAAAATGTTCCCTATTCATGGATAGGAAGATTCAGTATTGTGCAAATGACAATAATGCCAAAAGTAATCTACTTGTTCAGTGCAGTCCCAATACAAATAACAACTTTATTTTTCAAGGAGATAGAAAGGGAATTTGTTAAGTTTATTTGGAAAGGAAAGAAACTTCAAATACACCAAACACTTCTGAAAAACAAAAATGAAGTGGGAGGCACTCCCTTACCTAAAATCTACTACACATCAGTAGTAACAAAAACAGCATGGTACTGAGACAGTGACAGGCATATAGACCAGTGGAACAGAATATGGTCAACTGATAATCGACAAGGAAATAAACTTAGCAAATGAGGAAATGACAACTTCTTCAACAAATGGTGCTGGCAAAACTGGACTTCTAACTGCAGAAAGCTGAAGTAGAATCCACAGCTCACACCGTACACAAAAAACCAACTCAAAGTGAATCAGAGACCTGGGAATAAAGTCCCAAGCCACAAAGTTCATACGAGACAGACTGGGATCAAACTTAGAAACCCTAGTCTACGGTGTAAAGGGACTACAAAATACAGAGAGGAACTGACAATCTGAACAGGATAAAATTGATGAATGAGATGTTGTAAAGATTAAATATCTGTGCTCATCAAAACCTTTTTCCAACAGAGTGAAAAGAAAGCCTATTGACTAGGAACAAACATTTGGCAATACCATCTCAGACAAGGGACTCATAACGAAAGTTAACAGAATATTCCTGGGCCTCCAGAAGAAAAAGACTGATAATCCAGTTACAAAATGGGCAAAAGACATGGAAAGACCTTTCACAGAAGAGGACATTCAGATGGCCAACAGACACTTAAAGAAATGCTTAAAATCACTGACAATGAGAAAGATGCAAATAAAAATCACAATGAGAGACCGTCTTACCCCAGTAGAAGTGGCAAAGTTTAGCAGGGCAGTAATTAATAAATGTTGGAGAGGATGTGGCAAGATAGAAACGCTTATACATTGTTGGTAAGATTATAAAATGGTATACAACCACTCTGGAAAGCAGTTTAGTGTTTCCTCAAAAAGCTAAACATAGAAATTCCATATGACCCAGCTATTCCACTGCTTGGAATATACCCTGAGAAAATGAGAACTGAGGCACAGAGACTTGTACACCAATGTTCATAGCAGTGTTATTTACCATCACAAGAACATGGAAACTGCCCAAATGCCCAACCACAATTGAATGGATTAAGAAATGATGGTACATGCACACAATGGAATACTATGCAGCAATGTAAAGTAGGAGCAATGATTTTGTAAATTACTGCCTAACATGGGAGGGACTTTAGAGCATTATGCTAAGTGAACTAACTCAGTCTCATAAAAACAAATACTATATAAAACCATCAATGTAGAATGAGTATGAATGTCCAAGGAGGGGAGGGGGGTGTACGTAGTCATAGGGTCACCCAATTTTATGGGTAAAGGGAGGTGTGGATAAAGGAAAGAGGAAAGATCTGGTGTAAAAAATAATATATATGAACTTTGCAAATAAACCAATATATATATTTTAAAAAAGTAAGTTGTAAGCTGGACTTGTCACATGAGTTACACAAACAGCTTTAGAACAGCTTTAAAGGGTAAATCAGCCTTTGTCATCACAACCACAAGGAGGAATAATATGCTACTCTTTATACCTGCAAAAGTCACCTTCTCATTCCCCTCTAAGGATGCCTCACAAATGTAGTTCCCAACCCAAAGATCTTTTGTCCCTGCTGATGTATCTTCTATTTCTAATATGTCTAGGTTACTAAAGTTAAACTTGATGGTTGCTTTCAAAAGAATGAATGCTTCTTGCTCTGTGTCCCTTTTCCAGATGTTGGTCTCATTAGTTCATACCTCTCTCCCCAGGAAAATATGCAGGTCATGCAAGTGCAGCCAGGAGGACCACTGCCTAACTTCCGATCTGGAAGATGACTGGAAAATTGGCCGTTTGCTGATGGATTCCAAGTATTCCACCCTCACGGCTCGATTGAAAGGTGGAATCCGGATCTACAAGAGGAACCGGATGATCATGACCAACCCCATAGCTACTGGGAAAGATCCCACCTTTGACACCATCACTTATGAGTGGGCTCCCCCAGGAGTCACCCAGAAACTGGTAAGACAGTTTCAACCAAATGGTTTTTGTCATGCCCTTATATGTTTTAACCATCTCATGGGTTTCTGTATTCCAAAGATGCAGGAAAAGGGCAAAAATAACAAAATTGTAGGAGCAGTAATTGGTCTCTGCGCTCACCTTATCACAATCTTGTTCGATGACGCTCATAGATTTTCCTTTTAGTTTGCATAATCACAGAGGCAGAGAGGGGAGTCTGTTTTATAAACTCCATGAGAAATGGCTTTGGCTGGTTGTGGGAAGATAGCAAGTGCTGTGTGCCCTGGGCAGCACAGGACTCCTGTGCTTAACCCCTTCATGGCCAGGAAAGGGAGTAAAGATGCATCCAGAGGCCACATTGTGATGTCTGGTTGGTGAGATAGCCCATGAGAAGCATTACCAAGGCACATACTTTGTGGGTGCAACCACACAGTCATGACATTGCTTGCGGAGACCCTGCTTCAGAAGGAGCTAGAGAAGTAGGTGAAGATTCAGTTCTCTAGAATGACCTTCAACTCATCCCCAGGAAGAGCCGAAGAAACTAACTGCCATCATTTACTTTAGGACTTAAGAGGACTAGGAGATCTGGCCATGACCCACGTTCTACCTGTGGGTGTTCTTATACCTTGGGTGATGTTGCCTTCATGTTTTTTCATACAATAATTTATTGACATTGTGTTTCATTCATGTCCATTGTGGTTTACACAATCTTTCATTTACATTGTGTATCATACATTCTTAAGTATTGTATTTTATAGAATTAATTACTGTTGATGTATGCCTATTATTACCCTGTCTTTTCAAATCCCCATTGAAATTTTTCTATTTCTTCACCCTGCCCCCTAAACCACCCACTGAACTCCACTATGCAGGGTGACTTCCACACTTCCTCTTTTTTGCCTCTTCACCCTTTCTTTTTTCCCTTCTGGACATTTATATACATCTTACTTATTATCCTTCTATTTTTACAATAATGGACTTATGCAGTATTTGTCTTTATAAGACTGATTTAGTTTACTTAGTAAAATGCTCTCTAGACTGTCCCATGTTATATAGTATTTTACAAGATTGTTATTCCTTAGTGCTGCATAGTATTCCATTATGTTTCCACAGTTTCTCAATCCATTGTTTGTTGATGGACATTTGGGCTGCTTCTATATTCTTTCTATTGTGAATAACACTTCCAAGAACATAGGTCTGGCTATAAGACATTACATCTGTTGACCTAGAGTAATTTTCAGTAGCTCCCATTTCATTGCCTTTGTTCAATCCCAATCATATTCCTGTTGGAGCAAAAGAATTTCTATGGCAAGGTCCTACAAGATAATAACACAGTCTTGCACTATTTTGGCCCATCAATGTCTTTCAGTTTTGGCCTCTAAAATGGAATAGTAGCATGAATCCCCTCACTTTCTCTTTTGGTATTTCCATTCCCAACTGGTTGGGTCAACCACTTTACAGTACTTGTTAAGGCCCTTCACAGTCAGACACAAACACATTTTATTCCATTCAACCGTAATTCTCACTAGCTTGTACATATTCAATCCTGTATCCCACCTCTTTGACTAATGCTTGTTCAGTTTTCACACCCACAGGTCCTTCCGCTGTGGAATCTTTCCCCAGGTCCTCTAGGACAATGGAATAGATTTGTCTCCAAATCTCCCACTCACACTCTTCCTCTCATAATGTTTATTCCCTAACATCCCTGCCACTGGGCAGTGCAGATTGACCCTTTTTCACATGAACTGCTCCTCCAGACCATTGGGACTTCAGGATCACTCTGATCCTTATGGGCACAGAAAGTGCCTTGTCAAGTTCTCAAGCTGTTTGATAAAAACAGTCATTACTCTGGAAGACTTTAAGGATAACTGATCTAACAGAACCTTTTAGGTTCCTTTTATGAGTGTTGAAAAGCTCAAAATAAGCAAGAGCAAGGAATAAGTGTGTTTGCATGTAGATCAGTGGCTCTCTCTTTAGATGTCTACTGGATCTCCTGGGAACCATTTTTATATTTTTAATTAGTTTTCAGCCAGTAACTCATACACATTTTGTTTTATAACATTAATTACAATTGTACAGTGTCATTATTTGTATCTTAGCAAATCCTCGCTGTGCCCTTTCTTCCTTCATCCTCCCTACCTGTTTGTTAATCCCTATTCCCTCTCCTCCTGTCCTGGTGACCTTTAAAAAGCCCCCATGCCCAGGCTTCACCCTCCATCATTAAATAATAGTATCAAGACTGCAAAAACAGAATCACAAGATGTGAACATTTTTAAAAGCTCCTCAGATGATTTCACATGCAGCCCTGTTCAAGAGCCATCAGGCTAGATGAGTGGGGCTCAGGTTTAAATGTGTTTATAATTTGTCTAAGGGAAACTTGATGACATACATCCAGTAGGTTTGGAGCAGCTCTGCAATTCCAGGATCCCATAAGCTTCCAGATGATGCTCACACTGCTAGTGCCAAGACCCACTTTCAGTAGCAAGTGGCTAAATTGTTACTTCAAAATACTGAGATAAAAGAGGTTCTACAGATCCTTTCCCTGTTTGCTCATTGCAGTAGCCTTATTGTCCTTTTGTCAGTTCTTCCCAGATTGAAAGGCATTTATTAATAGTAATTCACAAATTCACAAAACACAAAGAAGATATGTGAATGACTGTAGAAATTGTGTATAACACAATATGAACAAAACCCAAATGTATATCAATGATTGTATGAAAACCAATAAAAAAAGAACATATACTTTTTAAAACAAAGAGATTCTACAGTTTCAGGGAGACAAGAGAATTTTATATGATAAAATTTTTACGGGGGAAAAAAGAGATCCTTTTGAGTCCTACATGATCTGATTTCTTTACCTTCTTCCTCATGGCTCCTACTATAGTGCTCTCACTCAGTACCTCACAGAACACTGGCCTTTCTCTTCCAGTTCTAAAAAACCACAAGTGCTTGTATAGAGGAGATCATATGAGCCTCTTAGGCTAATAAGAACCTACCCTCCACTTTTGACCACTTCCTTAGGCTATAAAGTTGGGTTAATGATGTTGCCTTTCCTTTTTGGCTTGTGAAGATCAAGCAAGATGATCACAGACATCCAGCAAAAATGACTGAGGCCCTAATGATCATGCAGTCTAGCTCAAGGGCCAGAGTGGTTAGGTACTTTCTAAGCTTTGCCCAGAGCTGAACCTAGAATTCAGGTTTCCTGACACCAAAGCTTTGTTCTCAGGCTATTAAATATGTCTGGAAAAGCACTTGGAATAGCATTAAGGACTTAGAAAACATTCCAGAATTTAATAGAATATATTCTGAGCCCACAGTGCCAGAAGGCAACTCAGACAGATGTGATCCCCTCCAGATGCGAGGGTAAAAAACCACCAAACGAGCTTTCACAGTCACTGCAATTGGTAACAGGTTGTTGGCAAGTCACCTCCCACTCAAGACGGTCCTATCCATGTCAGAGTAGAACCTGTCCACGTGGTTCCAAAGGGCTGACTTTTTCTGAGGTACATCTACAAGGGCTTACTTCTGAAGTCACTCTGTTCCTGTTCTGTGCTGTCATGTCTGAATTGACCCATAGCTGACCCTCCAGCAGATTTCCAAAGACTGTTAACCTCACAAGAGGAAATGGCCCATCTTTCTCCTGCAGAACAACTGATGGATTCAACCACCTGTAACTGAACTGACAGCACAGCTCCTTTACCACTAGGCCACAAAAATTCTCCCACCGTAGGTTAGCAGCCATGCATGTTAAGCATGTCTGTCACTCAAGGACTCAACAACTACTGTCGCCTTCAGTTTATGTCCTCTTCCTTTTCAAAAATGCATTTTCTATATAATTCATCCTTGTGAAATCCAGCAAGTTCCCACTCCCTCCCTGATTCCTCTCCCTTACTCCCTAAAACCAGCTGGCCAAGACTGCTCACTGTGAATCTCGGTATGAGTTGCTGAGTTGATTTCCAAATTCCAAACTGTGTCAAGCTTAGTGGCTCCTAAGAGCAGCCACTTGGGCAAAGGACATCGGGCAACATGGCAGAGAGGAGAAGGCAAGCAGCAGGGGCAGGCGAGGCATTGAAATGAAAAATATTTCTAAATGATAAATAGAATATGTCTTTCATAATCTTCTCATCCTATAGTCTTTACCTTTATATCTCCTTAATCTCCTCATCCCTAGAATACAAAAGTATGTCATTCTGTTCATTAATAAACGGACATGCATCTGAGTACGCAATAGTATTCACAGAGTTACTGTCCATATTTTTGTAGGAATAATATTCACTAAGCACTTGATTGGTTCCACTCTTAAAAGGGAATGAATGGTTTTAAATTAATAAGCCATGAAACACCTAATGCCCGTATGATTTAGTTACACTTCAGAAAATCAGAAAAATCTGAAAATGAGCATCTCCTTAAATGAGGTAACTGTTCTCATCAAGGACATGAGCCTGTGACTCCAGCTTGGGGGAAGCACAGGGGAGCCCTGGTGGCTCAGTGGTTAATCACTCAGCTGCTAACCAAAAGATCATAACCAAAAGGTCAGCAGTTTGAGCTCACCAGCCTCTCCTGGGAGGAAGATGTGGCAGTGTGCTTCTGTAACGATGTATGACCTCAGAATACCAATAGGCAGCAGCAGTTCTACTCTGTCCTGCAGGTCACTGTAGTGGAGTTCTTGCTATGTACCATCTTGTTGTGACTCATAGTGACTTCATGCACGATAATTCTGAATCCTGTCCTATCCTGAGCTAATCTCACTGTCTCAGACACACCTACCCCCATCACCCCAGTTACTGTGTCAATCCATCTCTTCTAGCGTCTTCCTCTCTTGAGCTATCCCTTCCTCCTTCCAAGCATGACACCTATCTCCAAAGACTCATCTCTCTTGGCAACATGCCTGATATGTCAGACAGAACTTCAAAATTCTAGCTTCTAAGAAGAAACATAGTTTCACTCTCTCCAAAACAGTTTTATTTGTTCTCTTGGCAGTCCATGGTACTTTCAATACTCTT